AATACATCATACTCTTAAAACTTACCTCTTAATATAAAATAAAAAGGGCATCTAGCCTCCCTCATATTAATAATGCTTTAAATATTGTTTTATTTACAGTTAATACACTCAACATGCAATACAAACTTTATACTCACAATTAATTATCTGCTTTGGATAGATATTTTATTACCACCAGTCATTTATATAATTTATAATTTATATAATTTATAATTTTCCACCATACCCAAGAGGCAAGACCCTATGCCTCTGATCACATGGAGAAAAGAATAAATTGCCATGTCTATGCCAAGGTGTCCAGTTTGGATTCAGCATGATGCATGAGACATCAATTATAAATGGACATAAGGGACTTCACAATCTGATCCCCAAGTTTTGTTTGTGGATAAAGAGAATATCACCAAACAAAAGGACAAAGATCATCTAAAGAGAAGATACACTGAAAGAGGATCCACAGCTACTAGACTTCCAGTGACTTGGGGAAATACAAAATCATTAACAACATCAGCTCTACAGCTGTTGGCTCAAATGGAGTTAAAATGTACTCCAGAAAACTTAGTTACTACTTTGATTGCTAAACTCACACAGAACTTTGTAAATGGTTTGGTCTTAACAATAATGTTGTTCAGTTGTTGTACCCCAGCTATGGAAGTTCAATACAGTCAGTCTCCTTGACTTTTAAAACCCATTATACTATCTGGGTTCACTTGGCTAAAATTGTTATATAACTACAAAAATGTCTCATGGTACCCATTGTTGTCTTAATAGGCTAACTGAGTTTCTTACCATCCCTACAGGATTTAACAGGCCACCATCCTGCATAATGGATTCATAAAAGGGCTATTCCCCTTGATAAAAACTGTGATGATTCAGTAAGCCTTCTCTCTAAGACAAAATTTGACACTTTGACATTGTCCTTAGTGGGTAACCCTGGACTAGCTGTTGGGGATTTCAAAACCAGCATAAAACTGGGCTGTGCTATAGCAAATAATATTAATTATACGTCTATGGCTATTAATATGATTCATGAAGAACAAAAATGACATCATCAAACCATATTTGACAATTGGGCTGCAACTGATTATTTGTTATTATTACATCATAAGGGATATCAAGAGTTTAATAATATGTGTTGCTTTAACTTAAGTGATAATGGTAATTCTATTTCAAAGGAGTTAAATTACTTTAACGATATCATTGATAAGATCCAACAAGGTGATGAAGGTTTAACTTATTGGATTGGCTAACTTTGCTTAGGTCAAGCACTTATTCATAGCTGGATGTTTACTAATACTGGAATTGTTATGTTGTACTTGCTTTTGTCAATATCTACTCTATTTTTTTTTTTTTTGCCTCCAACAACATTAAGAAGGAAACACACATTATTCATCCAAAAGGCCTTTAAAAAAAAAAGAAAGAAAGAAAGAAAGGGAAGCCGTAGGGGTTCTGTGTTTGGGATTGAGGTCCCTGATGGCTGTGGCATGCTTGGTGCCTTGGAAAGTTTCTGTGCAAAGGCATAGGATGCCCAGTTTCTATGGTAATGCCCTCCATGCTAGAGTCTTGTCAGCTTCAACCTTAATCTTAGGCACATAATTCCTGGGGATAAAGGAACTTGCTTGCTTGATAACTACAATGCTTTTCCATGCTCTGGTTCTCCTGGAGCCTCCCGCCTAAAAGTAACTTCCAACAATGGACCTTGTTGAGAACTGCACAAACCTCTTAACATTACATATTGTAACTATGAAATTTAAGTGCAGAATAAGCAAACTTACTGATATTCTAAACAATAATGTGGTTATGGTACAAATTGCCTAATATAACCTATTGTTATGAATAAACTGCTCGAACAAAGGGCCACTCTGCCACCTCCCCTGCCCTGCATCTTGTCTCTGTGTCTCCTTTCTTTGAGAGTCTTT